AGAAATGGAAAGAACACTGATGTCAAATGATTATGCATCCCCATTTATCCTGTTTTTTTTTAAATCTATGTCTTTTAGTTGCAAAACTACGTGTTGTGTCTTTCTTTTATGTACTGCATTATAATGTTTTGTGAAAAGTCTGTACATGATGGAGAAAAATGAATAACATTTTCGGACTCAGCATCTAGGAATTACTGTAGAACATGTAAAAATACCAAGACAATAAAACCATCGCAGGCCTGTGTTATCAATGTATCTTCTTTTCTTTAACTACTATCTAAAAATGTAACAAAAAAAGTCATCATGTTTGTGGTTGAAATATATATTTAAGTAGTTAATCTCTGCTGTAGCATCCAACACTCGGAGCTTGCCGAATGGTCTGGATCCGACAGAGTACAAGACTTTAGGAAAAAGCATTTTAACACCTGAGGAAATTATTGAAAAATTTAAAGAAGCAATCTTCCAGTATAGCAAGGTATTCTTTAATACTTGTTATCAAGTATGAAAATTCTTCTCCTTGATGTGTAATTAATGAGAAGAGCTGTATAAAATAAATAGCTCGTATGATGGTGATTCCTGCTTCATCTTGTTCTAAGAAAATGTTAATTTATTCTTCAGAAACAAACTTAAGAAAATATTTTAAGACTAGTCCATTCCATTGCAGATTGATGATTATACAAATTGGCCTGATACAGCAAGAATAAATTAATCACACACATTTCATGTGTGGTATAGATATTTAATACTTGGTCATGCTTTATGGCTTATTTAATCCACCATTCACTATTTATGATTCTGTGCAATATATATATATATATTGTAATATATTTATAACGTGTATTAAGTCTTGATTAGATTATATAATATTTTATGTTATCATCTAGTTTATATTTTTATATGAAATAAAAATGTATTTTTCTGTCTAAAAAATTTTATCTCTTGAAGTTCTTGCAGGTAAGTAAACATTGATTGCTCCCAAAGCAACTGTAACTTATAAATTGTTTCTATTTAAACTGCTAACTTAAAATTCAAAAATATGTTTTTTTTTTGCTAAAGAAGAAAGTGTTCTTATTTATTTATGTATTTTATTAGTTCAGAGGAGCAGCATTTATTGAGGCTGAATGCAGTATCAAAGCTGTCCGGGTGCTGATTTTACAAGAGGTGAGGTATAGTTGCTTACGACATAACTTGTTTATAAATCATTATAACTTTTTTTTCAGGTTAAATGTTGACTTGGAGTTACAACTGAATAGTTTGTTTTCTTTGAGGGACAGAATGTGATAAAGTTGTTAGGTGTGCCAGACAGCTAAGGCTCAGTTCTGATATGTCTTTTAATACTCCCCACACTTTAAAGCTATGGGAATTTTATTGCTGTAAATTTCAATCCTGCTACTCTATTAATAATATTAAATTAGGCAGTAGTTGTCCCTGATCGGCAGTTCTTAATTAGTGATGGCTCCGCTTGAAAATTAGGATCTATGAACTTTTTACCCCATGTTTCACATAAAACGTTATGCAGGTTGAAAATACCAAATACATGGTTCTAACATGCTTTACAAACATTCATGATGAACATTTTTCATCTCATACTTTCATTAAACACTTCGTTCCCCCAAGCACCTTGCTAGCAGCATAACTTTACTGTTTGACTTCTAGTTAATTTAAGAATCACAACAAGTTTCAATAAATACTTTTAATTGCTAAAAAGTTTTGAATTAATCTGAGCTGCTTAAAAATGATCATTTTTTTGTAAATAGTGTTAAACCTTCACAAAATTAAATTGATTTTTTTTGGTGCATTGTGAAATGATCTATATGGCTTAAAATGTTTTTGTAAGATTTCAAATATAAAAATAAAGTTCCAAAATTATTAGTGACATGTTGTTGGGTTTAATTTACAACCTTAACAGTTTGTAAAGAATTAAATAAAATTTTTAAAAACAAGATTTCTTGTACCTTTTTAACCCTCTGTGAATGGGCTCGGTCATTTCTACCAACCTTGTAATCACCATGAAACTATACGTACTATAACTGATTTGAATGTAGAAAATGTATCTTCACAAAATTTGGCAAGCTTTTTAGTAAAGTATAGAAGTTTGTTGCACACAAAAATGTAGATATATTTTATTAAGTATATTTACTGAAATTTTGTCTGTGAACTTATGAAACCTTTACTGAATCAGAGTACAAGGTGATTTTCATGTTCAGGATAAAAATACTTTTTTTTAATCTTATAATTTTCAAATTTCATTTGCATAACATTTAAAACTTCATATTTTTATCTTATATATTTTCTCTACCCTAACACTAACTCTATTGGCCTCAGTCAGTTTTACAGATTTTGTAACCACCATGTAACAAAGCAAAAGTATGAAATAAATTGAAATTACTCTCTTTTTTTTATTTCTAGAATGGTTACATATTGTTATAGATAATCATAATTATTTATCCCAACATTTTGAGTTCTCTAACCTATTCACAACTACTCTCAATTAATAAAGCAATAAATCACTTGTGAGAGGATAATGCAAATTACAGTAAACAAAGTTATTGAAATAAATCACAAGTGAGCAGCTCGTACTCATTTTTTGTTGAGAACTTTTTTTAAATTTAAGTTTTCTTATCTAACCTAATAAGTTTCTAATTTTTACATATTAATTACTTTTATAAAAAATAAATAATATATATAAAGAAATGTAGAATTTACATGTAGGTCTCATACTTTTTTGCTGTCAAAGCCTTCAAAAAAGTTAACCCTAGTCTTTGGTCTTGTTAAGAACATAAAGTAATAACAAGAACAAAGAACTACTACAGAATGTACTGCATCAGTTTCTTTTTGTATTGTTTTCCACCTTAACCCTTTGATCACGACCTACTTACATTGTAAGTAGGTATGCAACTCTCATGAAAGTTCTTTACAAAAATGAAACTAGTGGATGAAATTTTTTGAAATTTGAGATGAAAGGTCCTATACGTATGTAGTTTTTGAAATATAAGATATTTAATTTTGATTTTTTCTAAAGCAATGTTTTTCTCATGCCTTTTTTTCTTTCCTATCCATCATGCAAAGTAATTTTATTTTAAGACTAAAGATACTTTTATGCGTCAGAAAATTTTCAGATTTCACATGCGGAATCCTTATAATGTGCAGATAGTTATCAAAGGTTTTTTAAAGAAAAAACTATATTTTATCTGTTATTTTCACTAATCAGTATCTGTATGGGTTTGGTCAATCTGACCGATCTTGTAACCACCATAAAAAAATTGGAAATAATTATAAGTTATGTCTTTTTCTTTCCAGAATGACTACAGATTATAACATGAAAACATAAATGTTCAGATTAAATAGCTTAAATCTCATAACATTATATATTTATATATATTCATTATTTTTATTATATTGACTTTTTAGCCATGCCTGG